CGAGCGGGCAAGATAGCTCCATCTTGCCCGCTCGGGTAGCCAATCACAGCGCAGGATTTGATTCATCTTCACCGTTCACGGAGTTAGCCATATAATGATATAAAATGGGAAATATTGACTATCGCCAGGTACGCATCACGATACATCATGCCTAAAGACTGGAGCTAGAGCAGGACTGGAGACTGGAGCCTACTTTGTAATTATTTGCTCGACCGCTGGTTTCTGACAACGCGGGCTCTTACGACAAGGAGGTCAGCAGTCAGCAGTTTATCACAAGGAGCAGGCTCGAGCAGGCTCTAGAAAACTTTGTTATGAAGTGGGAAAGCACTACAGAATATGGAGCGCAATGGCCTATTTTGTTCTATTAAAGCTTAATCGTAACGCCTGATAAGGATGTGGATAAAACCAGAGGAAGTTCTCTTAGCCAATGCGCTTTGGTAAATACACACGACTCCGTCAGAGTGATCGATTAGAATTTTATTAACCTCAACCTTGTCACAAAGTTTGAACGTGTTTCGCCTGTATACAAAGATATTCAAAGATTTCATTCAATGTTTTTATTTGTGTAGGGTGACCGAACGAGCAAATCCTTACTTTGTACTTCAGCGAAGGAAAGGTCACGGAGGGGGCGGATTGACGTCCCTTCTGATCGGAACGTTAGATAATGTTTTAGATACGAAGGTAAGCTTAAGTGTAATTCTGTCTATAACAATTAATGACGATCACATGACTTGTATGAATAGCGGTTTGATAATCTGTGCTTTTTACTTATTGAAGTTTTGATGTTCATTTGGAGTTTATTTCCTGTTTAGCCTGCACCATTTCGCATACTTCTACAACTGCCTAGCTCTGATATAAGTTATGGTAAGTATTTGTAATTTTTAAACATTATAAGCACTGTTCAAAGTGAATCATTTATTCAAGTGATTAGTAGTTTTATTTGTTAATTAAAACAAACTTGTACATAACAGATTCTATAACATGACATTCTACCATACTACATAGCCAGGCTCAACAGTCACAACTGAAAAATGATTAGCTAATTATACTCCAAGGAAGTACAACTGAGCAGTGATTTGAAAAGTATGATGCTTCATCATATCCCTTAGTCGATTTAGCAGCCTATGTTCTACTTTACGGTACCCAATCAGAAGCTGTGTCACTGACTGATATGGCTATAATATCATGGTCACTTGGCTGAATTTGGATACAGTAAATACCAAATTGTGGTACTGTGTACTTCAGGGGCACATCAGGCTCCTTTGGTCATGCCATGGGTATTTTGACTCGACTTCTTCTCGCCGGCATGTGAACCTTGGCTCGATCAAACTCAGCATGTTTACTTCATGTATGTTTACCAAATTAGTCATCGTATTTGTGTGTGCATATTACTAAAAATGCTAGCTAATGTCCAACCAAATTTGCCATAAGTTTGGCAAAAGTAGAGATTTGAAAGTTTGCATGTCTTGCAAAGTAAAAAAGAGAGAACTCTCTGTGTTGATGATCTCTAAGGAGCACTTAGTTTAAAATGTCAGATCCTCTTAATTTACACATGTATTTCCCTGTGCTATGTATTCTAGTGATTGCAAATGCGGCATCATTCCATGACATAGAGACAGACTGGAAATGGTTGGAAAAATATTTGTTGGAGACATTAGGTAAGTGGCAAATGCATGTAGATAAGCTAAGCTTGCACCTTTTAGAGATAAGGAGTGGTGAATGGTAGATGCAAGACTGCGAGAATGACTAGCATTTTTTTTACAAGCGCAAGACGTTTTGACTTCTTCAGTTTTGAGACGTGTTAAATGTGAGCTCCAGTGTTTAGGTTCAGATGTCATTTATAACTCTACCAAAGAAAAACAAACAAATCAGTACTTTGAGGCTTTGAAATTCATAGCCTTTCAAAAAGTTGAGACTTAGAGACATACATAACTGCTTAAACCAATGAGACTGTGAGACCCAGGAAATTGAACGAGTTTGCTAGACCCATGGTTTTTGAAGGACCATTCACCACCTCTAGAGCATGTTATCCTAATAATTAATTAATATATATTACTAATAAGTAATAGTAATTGGACTGAGTGGAGTACAATTCAGGGAGCAATCATGCAAGTAATTTCAAAATCGGACAAGCGTGAAGCGCAAGGCCTATTTGAAATTACGAGCATGATTACTCCCTGAATTGTATGACACAAGGTCCAATTACTAATTAATC